CCCTACTTGGTTACAATTAAAATCTGCAGTAGTAGCAGGCTTTTGCTGATAAGATTGATGACCCTTGTTGTGCACTGAGGAACTGCATATATCCTCATAAAGGCAGTCTTCTGACGCCCTCTAGTGATACAGTCTGTTTAAGAGTCCAGACTAACTAACATTAACCAAAACAAAGGAGTCTGTCTCCCTCTAGTGTCACAATTTTGGTTTACTGCATATTATTGGTCAGAACTTTGAGCTGAAGAAAGTGAAGTCTCATTGCATTTTTTTGCACATTTGCATATTTTCAGCAAATAGTCAAAGTGGTTTAATTGCTGAGGCCATTCCAAAATGATACAAAAATAACATGACCTGTAGTGACCATACAGAATGTTTTAAATGGTAAGACTTCAACTAGGTTAAACGAGCATTAGAGCATTTTCTGAAGGTGTCTATAAGCTTACCTGCCTCTTCAGACATGACAAGGTTTTGTCACCACATTGATGGAACGTTAAGGCATCTAGTTCATCAAGCATGTATAGTCCAATTGACTTCAACAAACCATCTATACTGAAAGCAGGTTGATAATAAAAGACATTTTGAAACTAAGAAAAGATGGGCAAAGTTGTGTAACACTAAAAAAGCACCTGGTGGAACATCTCACAACTTAAGTTAATTGGCAACAAGTCAGTAACATGATTGGGTATAAAAGAGCATCCCAGTGAAGAAGGAGAGTCTTTCAGAAGTAAAGATGGGGAGTTGTACAACACTGTGAAAGACTGCACAAGCAAATAGTTCAACAATTCAAGAATAATGTTTTGCAATGTAAACTAGCTGAGAACTTGGTCAAGGTCAAAAACCAATGATTGTTGGCTGTGATCTTCGGGCCCTCAGGTGGCACTGCATTAAAAATAGACATGATTCTGTAGAGGAAATCACTGCATGGGCTCAGAAACACTTCTGAAAACCAGAACCTAAATCATTGTAGGCAGAAGCATACTGCCACAGCCAGAGACAGGACACAAAAGACACGAATGGGCACACTGAAAGCCCAAAAGGGGTGGGGGGGCAGTGCAGAGAGTGAAAAGAGCTTAAATCACATGTGTCAACATCATAATTATCATTAGAAAGCAATATATATACACACACACACTCACACCATATATATATATATATATATATATATACATATATATATATATATATATATATATATAGTGGTGGTTTGGTGTGTGGTGTGGATTGGAGCTTATGATTCCAGGATGGAAAAATGGACAGACACTAAAGTACCGTACTGGTCACCCCTCTACAAAGGTGTAATACAGACTGCTGTTTGCCATGACCTTAAATGCACAGGTCTACAAGTGTGTCTGGTTGGTGCTGATTAGCCCAATGACTTCTGGGAACTGGAGTTCCCAGGCTAAGAGCACTTGCCATTGTCGCCCTCTGCTGGTGGCCAGTGGCATTAGCTGGACCCTTGCAATATCAGTCTGGAATATTAAGGATTGTCACTACACACAAAAACGCCATGAGTTTGAAAAGACATGAATGGGCACACTGAGTGGACATTAGTTAAGGCTACCCAAAAGCCTTAACTAATGGGGGGGAGCAAGTGCAGAGAGTGAAAACCAAGAGTTTAAAATCACACGTGTCAAGCTCCAGTCCTCGTGGGCTAAAACACTACTGACTTCAGCACTCTGCCTCATTAAATACACCTGATTCAGCTCATCAGCTAATTAGCAATGCCTTCATGAACTGAATTCAGATAGATGAGGGTAAATGCTAACGTCCACACAGCACTTTGGCCCGGAAGGTCCCCTTGACTTGCCTGGTTTAAAGGGACCAAGAATGAATGAAAGGTGTAACATTATGATTACATTAGAAAACAGAAATATATATATATATATATATATATATATATATATATATATATATATGGTGTCTGGTATGGATTGGAGCTTATGATTCCAGGAGGGAAAAATGGAAAGAGCAGACAAAAGGGATACACAGGGATCATGCTCAAACAAAGGCAGGTCTCAGAAATGAACTTACTTTAACTCTCCTTTTCACTTTCTCTTCTTTTCTTTGGGATCTGTTTCTCTTTTTAACCCTCTTTTCTCTCCTTTTCTTTTCTCTTCTTTTACAGACAGACACTAAAGTACCATACTGGTCACCCCTCTACAAAGGTGTAACACAGACTGCTGTTGCCATGGCCTTAAATGCACAGGTCTACAAGTGTGTCTGGTTGGTGCTGATTAGCCCAATGGCTTCTGGGAACTGGAGTTCCTTGGGCTAATAGCACTTTACCATTGTCGCCCTCTGCTGGTGACCAGTGGCATGAGCTGGACCCTTACAACATCAGTGTAGAATATTAAGGATTGCCACTACACACACTTTTTTTCTGCAATTAAGCAATATTTTGTGTTCAAATGGGAAAAAAAAGATTTTATATGTGGGCAACTGCTGTGTTTGTTAGTCATGTACTGGCTAAGATTTGTGTTCTGCTCAAAATTAGATAAAATTGTCACTACCAAAACAGTCACCACCGAAACATTTGGTAACATTTTTGGCAGTGTTATGATTGTAGATATTCTATACATTCTATAAAGGTTTTTCTACTTTATCTGAATAGTTCACACCATTCGACAACCATCCATTAGCTTTATCTTTCAATTTCACTTGATTTTAAACATTGTAAACAGCTGAGAGTAAATCTATATGATGTTAATCTGAATAATAAAAAGCATTTAAAAGGTATATATTTTGCCCAACATAAAGCCAAAAAAAACAAAGGGAAAGAAATATTGCAGCCTAATGTTAATCATTTATTTGTACTCAAAAATAAGCAACAAAATAAACCGACATCAAAATTGTTATATTTACAGCTCTCAGAATGTCTAGTCATAACATTTCTGAAAAGATATCTAAGCCAATAACTGCTGTGTCTGATCCACTCGTACCAGCACAACACACACTAACACACCACCACCCAGTGTTACTGCAGTGCTGAGAATGATCCACCACCCAAATAGTACCTGCTCTGTGAGGGTCCATGGGGGTCCTGACCATTTAAGAACAGGGTAAAAGGGGTCTAACAAAGTATGCAGAGAAACAGATGGACTACAGTCTGTAACTGTAGAACTACAAAGTACACCTATATAGTAAGTGGAGCTGATAAAATGGACAATGAGTGTAGAAACAAGGAGGTGGTCATAATGTTATGCTTTATCAGTGTATGTGTACATGGTGCAGGTGTCGGTGTGGAGTTTTTGAACTGCAGTTTGTCACAGTGGAGGATGGAACCACAATGATTTCCACCCTTACAAAAACTTCCCATATTTTCCAAATGGCTGGTTAACCAGACAGAGCTTTTCAGCTACCCACCCATAAAGCAGCAGCCAGAAGAACACAGACTCAATGGCTATTAGAATCAGATGCAAAAAACACATCCTCTATACAGAACACGCTTCTGCACAATGTAAAGCAAAATTACTGCTTATTTGCTGAATTTAACTGAAACTTAAAATGTGGCCTTTAGAAAAGTTATGACACATTTGAAATGTAATGTTTTATTATTTTCCAGTATGTTAAACTCAGCAAATAGATTTTGAACTACTAAATGTCATATGTATGTGCGTTCTCTTTTGTCGCTTAGAAAATTAACTTAATGTGTAATTTTTCTCAGGGTGTCAAAACTTACAACTGTACATTCATCTTTGGCAGACTCTGAAAGTGAGACTTCCTTGCTTCATTTGTTTATTAAATGTTTGGACAACACTGCACTGTATTACTGACCAGGCGTGGTCTTTGCACTAGGCTGAGGTAGGCAGTCATCTAGGGCCCTTATAAACCAAGCTCCCCACGAAAATACAAATTAGCTGTTATTATCAAAAAATAGCTGCTATGTAGCTCCACCCCTCCAAGAGGTTCTGTCTTTGCCTAGAGCCCCAGAATCACTAAATCCACCCCTGTTACTGACACCCTGTGAAAGTTCTACACATCACTGAATTGTTGAGTAGCAATAGGAGGCCAGATTTATGGATTAACGTGTAAGTACTTTCAGCCTTCATGCATGAAGCTTTTCAACTGAGCATTGAAATTATCCCCAGCATAGACTTTAGAAGTCACTCTGTAGTCAGCATCATGCCCATATTTGGATCTCCAGGTCTGATCCAGTTTTCTTTATGAGAAAAATGAATGGTGTTCTTGAATTAGAAGAATTCAGAACCATTAGCCTACTATGTTTTGCACACAGAGGAATTGGACCTACACATTTAACTCATCTGTGCAGTGAAACACCCACATACATGCACACTAGTGAACACACACACTAGGGGGCAGTGAGCACACTTGCCCAGAGTGGTGGGCAGCCCTATCCACAGCACCCAGGGAGCAACTGGGGTTAAGTGCCTTGCTCAAGGGCACTTCAGTCACATACTGTCAGCTGAGGGGATCAAACTAGCGACCTTCCGGTCACAAGGCTGGTTCCCTAACCTCCAGCCCATGACTGCAATTGAGAATTGCTACTATCCTGCCATGTGGTAAACAAAAATGTTTCAAAGCTGACATGTTTAGCTGTACTAACATTTTTCTTTCAAATATGGTTGGATCCTCTAAATTACAAGGTCATTACACATGTAACATGCCAGAAGGATTCAGATGCTCACAGTTAAAAGGAGAAAAAGAGGCTTTACTGTTAGTATCACAATCCAGATTCATGGTCAATAAACAGGCATAGGTCAAATTCAAAAAAGACATCCAACACAAAAAGACAAACATAACAGAAGCCAGTACGTCCAAAAAGGGTCAGGCAAAAGGCAGAGTCAAAAAACAGGCAAAAAACAGTCATACACAGGAATGGTAATACACAGAGAGGACCCCTCAGTAGATCTAGAAAGATACAACACCTCACAACTAGTCTATGCTAAAGGCTGGGCTTATATACTAAACTATATAGGTCATATGACAACAAGGCAGGTGTACAGAGTTAATATTCCTTGACTGTGAGCGCTGATTGGAGCATGAGGGAAGGTCAGGAGTCAAGTGAGTCATGTGATCTCCCAGAGGATTCTGGGAGATAGAGTCCAAGTGTGTCTCAGGGCCGGTAGGATGCGTGACAACAGAGCAGAAATATGAATATTGCTACATGCAAGCTAGCACTGCTACACACTGAACTGGCTTCATAAGACTGACAACCTCAAGAAAATATCCCACACAACCATGCAGCATTATTTATATTTTAGCTGCTAAACAACCTAGTAATTCAGTGGATTCGGCAACACTTGAGGTTACAATGTACATAAGAAAAACGCTGGAACATTATTGTTCACCACAGGACATAATAGCAGAAATTTTCAAAAACGGCACATTTTTCGCAGAGCGGAAACCAGCTTAGAATTAGAGCTCCTAATATGGGCACAACACCAACTACAGAATGACACAGGACTTCAGAGATCTATTAGAACAAAACATGAAATAAAATTCACCACTATAATACCATTTAAGAGCTTAACTTAGAAATAGATATTTTATTTACATATATTTAACATGCATTGCAGAGTATATACAGAGTTAGATAAACAAGCACAAACACCTTCTCTTACAACATAATTTGTTTGCGATGGTAAAGACAGACTGGTGGTAATGACAAGTCATTGTTTAACACTTGAACTTCAACTAAAACTAATGAAATGGATCAAAACAATTATTGTAAAAGGGAGTACAACACTTGAACACCACCTACCATGATATCAAATGCGGCCATAATTGAAGTAATCCACATTTGATTCCATTAAACCATTTGAACAAGTTTGCTTATTATAGGGGTTAATATTTTCCCCATTGTAGTATATTTTGTTTATGAATATTGTAGTCCCCTCCTTTCTCCCCAGTAAAAACTTTAAGGAGCTATTTCAATAATGTACTCATATGTGTGTATTTAGTATTCATTTTCAACATCTGTGAATGAATACAGAGATTCTAACGTGGTAAGTTCAGTGTGGCTTGTTTATGTAATAAAAGTAGCTGGCTGGAAATTTAATGCTGTCCTCTGTGATGCAGGTGTTTCCTGATGATGCTCTCCTCTTCCACTAGTCTGTATCAGGAGAGTAACTGAATACATGCCCTTCAGAAATACTGGCACCCTCAGTTTGTGTATAATTCAATAGTCTCAAACATGCAGTGTTTCTCTCTTAGATAGGTAGCACTATGCAGCTTGTCTAAGAGAGAGGAGAGAGCATTGCTTTACCTGTGCCTGTTTTAACTGGACATAATTGACAGATGTGACGCTTGCCAATTTGACCAAATAGCCGTTTTTTGGTAAATTATCTGGCTGTTGCTACTCTAAAAGTTCATGATGAACAGATATTTTGGGGCAATCAAAACATTTTCCTGGCAGATCATGCCCCAAACCCCTGTAGTACAGGCTTAGCCCCCCTGTCCATAAACCTCTAGTGACGTCCCTGATGTTGGGTAGTTGTCCACTGTGACGATACGTTTGACTACTGGGAAAAAGGAACAGCGACCGTGAGCTCAGGTTGGATCAAATTATTAGAAACTGAGCTACACGTCTATATCACAGCTTTAAGACTGAATAATTTTGCGCAGTAAAGGTACAGTTGTATGGGATATTAGGCAAAGCCCTGAAACTACTGTATGAGCTTATTGTGCGGGTAATGCTGGGTAGTTTTCCACCGTGACAATGCTTTCGACTACTGGGGGAAAGGAACCTCGGTGACTGTGAGTTCAGGTAAGAAATAAACTGATCAGAATTACATTTAGTACTAAAAACTCATTTTTGCAATTTTGCGAATTTTGCGACAATCGCGGTTTAAATAATTAAGCCTAGTTTGTCAGTTTTCGCTTTAAAGATGCAGACAAAACGATACATTAAGATGAAGATCAGTGACTGAAGTGAACTAGAACTGAAACTATTTAAGAATGAAACATTATGACGATGAAGGAATATGAACATCCGTCAGTATTACGGTCTTCATAAAGATTTTTGCATTTAATATATCTGTAACTATCTAATTTCAGGATCGTTCATAAATAACTTCTACTTAATTTAATACAGCGAATGGAAGTTGTTAGCTTAGAATATTAATGTAAGTAGAATATTTGATGTTCAAATTATCTAGATTTTGTGGAGTGGACATTTATTTTAGCTGTGCTGGTGGGAATATGTCTGGTTTACTAGTCTTCCTGTAATAAATTGTTTGGAAAAGATGCGGCTTAAATTAACGTGATAGTTGAGATCGCTTTGAGGCAGTTTTGTAAAATTGTCTAAATTTCTGTCAGATGGTCTAAATATTTCTAGTGAGATGTTCTAAAAATGTATCACCCGATGGTCAAACATTTGTTCGTCAGAGGGTCTCAAAATTTCTGCTTTTATGTGGAAAAATGTAATCGTTAAATGGTCTTGAATTTTCTTCTCATATACAATTATTGCATTTGATGTATTTATTTATGTTCTTTCTTTTTTAGTTCATTTTTTTGTCCTTTTCAGCGAGATCCTAACCGTTTATCACTGAAATAATAATTAAATCAAATATTTATCATTTCATATTTAACATTTATCTTTTCTGCTCCGTATTTAAAAAATACAGTGTGAAAAAATAAGCAAACATAATCTCAGAAACACAAAAAATATAAAAACCATTGTAGAACTTATGATTTTTTTAGAATGCTTTTTTGTTTTGGAGTTTAAATAAAAAATAAAATAATAATAATAATAATAATAATAATAATAATAACACACGTTCATACCATGTTTTGCAGGGACATAAAAAAACTAAAACAGTCATATTTCGCTTAAAATTAAAGATGGAAAAAACGCAAAGTTAATGTTTTTAAGGAAGAGAAATAGCTGATAAATAAAAGCCAATACTTCAAAAAGAAAGTACATGAAGAGATAAAAATCCGAAATGTAATAAATTATATCATAGTTCGGAACAAAATAAAGAATCTCGAAGAAACTCAATATTTATTAGCGATTATATTTTTCATTTAATCCATTGTTTAATAGACTCTGTGTTTCACTCTCTTCATCTCAGCAAAGTCAACGCTTTTCAAAAACACCATAGCGCATGACTAATCTTTTAGTAAAAACAACCTTTTACACCCAATAACTTAAACTATTCCTGTACAGTAATATTTCTGTAAAGTGTAACGCCTTCATTGATAATGTTTTATTTTTTTTGTGTACTTATGAATATATGAAGTTTTAATTTATTCTAAATGGTGGTCAGCATCGGGTGGTCAGGCCGTAAAAAATAAGTTAACTTGGCGACCTCAACGTTTTTCTTCAAAATAATCAATTACAGCATGTACCACACCTATCACTGATCTGTTAGTTCACTCCAGGAACGCAAAACTTTAACTTTTTATATTAAAACATCCTCTAATAAAGGTGCTATTTTATAGCACGGACGTTTTTTTGGTATGTGTAAATACAATTTCATGAAAAAATAGTGTTGAAAGGAGTCAATAAGGCTGTTAAAAAAGCTGCTGTTTAAAAACTTTTAACTCACATTTTTACTTAAATGAAGCTCTAATATCTACAGAAGAATAATTTATGTTAAACATTTCTTATTAACTAAAGTTCAGTAAAGAATTCGTTTTTAAGCGTACAATGCAAATTTCAATAAGAAGCATACTGCCTGCAGTGCTGAGTGTGTGTGTGTGTGTGTGTGTGTGTGTGTGTGTGTGTGTGTGTGTGTGTGTTTTACAGGTGTTCAGACCCCTCCCATCTCTCTCTTCACTGTGTCTGCGTGCGCCCCCTCCTCTGATGGCTTCCTTACTCTCGGCTGCGTCACAAGCGGTTTCTCTCCCGCCGACTCGCTCAAGTTCTCCTGGGCCGGCGACGTCAGTGACGTGCTGCAGTACCCGGCTGTACAGCAGGGTGGCACCTATACAGCGGTGAGTCAAGCGCGCGTCAAGGCCGCTGACTGGGACGCGGAGAAGCCGTTCTCCTGCCAGGCGAACCATCAAGCAAGTACAAGACCCATACCCAACAGGTGGAATATAAGAGGTATAAGCACATTCAGGGCTCAGAGACCAGCACCGTGTGAACAAAACATCCCTAACACCACCACCACCACCATCAAGCCAAACTTTCAGAATAAATATCCAATGAGGAATACTGCAAATCCAAGCATTAACCCCGAACACATCCTATTACACGTTATTCATGAAATGGAATAACATGAAGTGGGTCGGTTCAACACTGGAGATTTAGCTGTGCATGAGGACATGACTGTGATGCTTCTATATTTATTGAATTCACTTGAGGGGAAGGGGAGGAGCAGTTAATTAAGTTCAGTTAATTAAAACTTGGTAAGAGCACACAGGTGAACTTCAGCTGACCTGACCAAATAGGAAAAGAAGACTAATAAAGAAGCTTAATGACAACGACTCAATGAATCTTTTTCTAAAGTATGCAAGACTAGGTCTACAAATACCTATCCTCAATTGGAACAGGGGTTTGAAATGGAGCTCTAAGCCTATGACGTCATCACACAAGTCGTGGTTGTTATAATAGGTGATAAAGCAAGAGTGATAATAGGTGATAGGAGTGGTTTCATCTGGTTTAGGTTACACCTTCACTGAAACATGTCTATATTTCCATCGTTGTGGCTTGTTGCCCAAACAGCGTACAAAATAATTCCCTGTTTTCTCTCTCGATTTCCTGCTTGCTGGTTGCCACAGTATCAGACGTGTGTTGTGGATTCAACAGATACAACTGTATGCACCACATTAATCTTACCTGTAATTGGCTAATCAAGCCAGAAGGTGCACCACGCAACATTGTGGCCCTCATATACTGTGGCAACATAGTTTAGGCCTACTTCCTGCTTGTGAATGCAACACCTGTTGTGTTAGAAATAAAGGTTCTGTGCAGGTACATTTTCCGTTCATCAAGCTACAAACAGTGTAAATGTTCCCTCAAAGGTACTACAGTGGTTTTAAGGTCCGATTGTGAACCTTAAATAAGTTTTTCCAGGTGAAAAGTTCGTATTTGTACCTTTTCATAACCTCATTTTTTAAAACAGAACAATAAAATAAAAAGCCTGGAGACGAGACGGGGTGTGTGGAGTCAGTACATCTTAGACAATATAAGTATGATACCGTTATGTTCCCAGACCAAAGGTACTGAGATGTACCCTTGAGGGTACCACCCCAGTGACAAGAGGGGTACTGCCCCAGTGACAGATTGTACCTGCTGCATACATCTCTATGTTTGTTTGTGTTTTCCAGATGTGACAGTGCAGCCTACTGCTCTGCTTCTAACAGTGCCCACCCAAGCGGACTTGGACAATGGAGTGGCTACCTTCATCTGTGTAGCCAGTCAGTTCTCACCTAAAGAACATAAACTTACCTGGACTCTTGATCAAAAGGAGATCACAGATCGGGCCAAGCCAACGATTTTAACTGAGGAGAAAAGCACTATTACCATGTACACTGCCATTAGCATTTTGGAAATCTTGGCCAGCGAATGGGTGGACACGCTTTCCACAATCAAGTGTGAATTCAAGCATCAGGGATAAGACCTTTACCAAAGAGGCTAAATATACAAGTATGTATTCTTTCATTTTGTGTGTGTTTACTTGTGCTGTTTATATCCTTTATGTTTGTAAATTTGCACTTAAATAAATACTTTAAAGTGCTTACTTCAATTATGCCACATGTTCTCATTTATTCAGCATATACAGACAGCAATGTATGTAATTTTGTCTTTTTAGTGTAGATTTGCTCCCACAGAATTGGATGAGAAATTCCTTTAGTATATGGGTACTTGTTTGCTTCTTTCTAAATCTTCTGTGCTTCTTTTCTTTTCATGCAGCGATACTCGATGATGAAACCGAAAAGGTAGAAATTGTTCCCCCTTCCACTGAGGATATGCTGGTCTGGGGTGCTGGTGAGCTTCAGTGCCGTGCTACGGGACCTAATGGTTTCAAGAGCATCCAGTGGATGCGTGCTGGTCAGATCATCACATCTGAAGTCCAGGGAGAAGTTGGCGGTTCCTCACTCACAGCTATTGCTAGAATCAATTCCGATGACTGGAGCAGAGCCACAGAATACAACTGTGTGGTGGAGCATAAATTATTCGCCGAACTCAACAAGACATACACATATAGGAAAAAAGGCGGTAGGAATCCTTTTCCTTCTTTAATTGTCTTTTTTATTCGACCAAAGCTCCTTTTTACATTATAAAACAGCTGAGATACATGAACATGGTCACTGATGAAAAAAGCCCATTGGAGCTGAATTAGGTTTACCTGGGGTTTGCAACAAAATATAGAAATATAATCCAGGATGAGTGTGCACTGGGACAGTAATAACTGTGGAGTGTTTTAATCCAGTCCGAATCTACAGTGTGTAGTTTCTACAATCTGACACTGATAACTGTCTATTGATTTTAATCCAGTATGTAGTATTAACCTGCAATGTGTAGTCTTTACAGTCTGACATCTGAGAGTAGTAACTGTAGTGATTTTAGTCCAGTATAAATCTGAAGTGTGCATAGTCTTTATAAGCGAACAGGAATAATCCTGTATTGATTTTAATCCAGTATGAATCTGCAGTTTGTAGTTTTTGCAGTCTGATAGTAACTCAGTAATAATCCTGTTCCAATCTACCTCACGCTAATGCAATAACAAAGCCATCTAATAGACACGGTCAAGCAATGTAAAGGCTGAAATAAACATCAGGCCATAACCTTTAATTTCAGCCTATCTGTGGCAATTCAGAGTAATTTTGTAGATATTGTATCCAAAACACAACCAATCAAATCATGCACACCACCCTACACAACCTGGAAAATAATCCAGCTCAAATAGGGCTTTATTATGTGGAAGTTCTCATTTGAATGACTAGCCTTTCTTTTTTTAGCATGATCCAAGTTCTCAACAAAAAAGTTCTGACCTTCACTGTGATTTCATGTTCTCAGGAGGAGAAAAGACGTGTCCCTCTGTTTACTTACTCGCTCCACCAGAGCACGGCCAGGAGGGAGGGGTGACCCTGACTTGCTATGTGAAAAACTTCTACCCCAACGATCTGGTTGTGTATTGGCTTGCTAATGATAAAATACTGAACAGTACAGAGGACGACTCTATCCCCTACCAGCACAGAACCTCTTGCCCGATTGAGATTGAAAAAGATCGCCTCTATTCAATTTACAGCCAGCTGGTTATCAGCTCTGCAGAATGGAAGACAGGAACGGTGTTCAGCTGCTTAGTGTACCATGAGGCCATTAACCCAACCATCTGCACGATATCCAGATCACTCGACAATGTTTCAGGCAAGCCCACCTTAGTGAGCCTCAGCATGAGTGTTCCCTCGACCCCCGCCTGCGCGTCTTAAAATGTGTCGTCTGCAAGTCATGCTTGTTTATTTTGTCTTCTTGTTTTTTTGTTTCTTTAAACAATGCCATGTGTTTGTCTTTAAGTGCTTTTGATGCTTGTGTGTTGATGCTTTATGAAAAATGTCAGATGAAATATTACACATTTTAAAAATTTTAATAAAAACAATATTCAGCATACTGTATGTCCTGTGTAGTATGTAAATGCTGCTTTACGCTCACGTAGACATGACTAAAATAGTACTGTTGCAAGGTTTGCCTCTTTGAAGCATTATATATTACTGCATAATTCATGCATTCTCCAAGTGGACCAGCACTGATAGCTATTTTCATATATTTTACCAAAAGTGACCAGTACTGTACTACAAAATAGCAGAGCAGTTCTAAAAGGCAAAGGAAGACGCAAATGAGCAAGAAAAACTCACCTTCACTAAATCTTCTCTGAATCTGCTCTAATTTGTGCCCAAAAGTGAGAATGCTGTAAAGCTGAAGAACTTTATCCCTGTATATTGACAAAATGTGTGGCCGTGTTTGTGTGTCATTTGTCAAGCTTCTGTTTGGTGAATATTTAAAAGCTCAGTGTCCCATCTCTGCTCTTTCTGGCATTAATCATTAACTTAATAATATGTGTGCGCGTTTAAGGTGGTAGTAACTTCAGGTTCCTGCAGATGCCGTTGTACGTGGATGATCGGGATATAAACACCTGCGGGTTGTGTGATGGGATTCATAGATTGAGAAGTGGAGGTACAGTGCAGTGAATGTCTCATTCAATGTGTGGAAAATGGGTCGCAATGCAGATCTTAATGATTGGCAAAAAGGAGAGGTTGAGGGCCAGAGTGTGAAGGAAGTAGTTGAAATTCCAGGTGTATCAAACCCCAGTCTACAGTAAATCTCATCAGAATCATGGCTGAAAGACAAGACTGGACAGGGAGGACGGGGACCGCTGGATGAGTTGTGGATGAGTTGCACATGGAGAAAATGAGGTTCTCTGTCAGAGATCTGACACCACTCTTATTGGTCCATAGTCCAAATCACATAGAAACTCTCTCTTCCCAAAAAGCAGGTTAAAATTGTCAGTTTGTTTCACTTGCAGTTCAGTTTGTTTGACCTGCAGCTTTTATGGAGCCAAGTGTTTAATCCAAGTAGCCTTGAGAACATATTGGTTCTCCATGCAGGCAGAGGAACACTGATAAATGACTGCAGGTTGAGCTCCCTGAGTGTGTTAAAGATCATTAAAGTCTGATCTGCTTCACTGTTGTTTATTCAGACAGTAATGCAGGAAGCTTTTCATTCAGTTCAGAGACTTTGATGCTCAGTTCAAAACGAACTATGAGTTTAATTTTTCATGCCACCAGCAGAGTCACCCCCAAAAATAAAGGTATCTGCTGTGGCTCTACTGGGGTGCTTTTACTGGCTGCCATTTCCAGTTCTTTCTGCTTTATGTTCACTGCCTTTAGGAAACTCACTGAGGCCTTGCTGTGTGTGACTGGGACCAATAATTTGATCTCTGAGCCGCAGTTTTAGCATCAGCATTAGCATTGCCAGGACAGGCTGTGCTAACAGGGGTGGAAGAAGGGTCTGCAGGGCTTTATGTAGCACAGCATTTGAGTTTAGCTTCATTACGGACACATTGCTCATTTCTGCCAGCTGTACTCACATTAGTGGCTTCATCCACACATTCCACTGGCCCTCTGCTGCCCACTGCTCCGTTAAAGCCTCCACCCACTGTCTGCTGCCAGCACTCCTTTACTCTGATGCTCCTCACACAGTGCAGGAATGCTAATTCCTAAACTCTGATAACAAGCTCCAAAAAGTCATTTTCAAAACTATGATTTTTATAGAAGTTTGTAACCTCTGAAACCTGAAAAGACACTTTGTAAGTTTCTTCTTTGGTAGCCAATGGGAACTTTAATTCCTGTGTCTATTTCACTACTATAGAAGTACAAAAAACAAGAGAAAATATCCACTTTTGGTTTTGGTGCTCCTGACTTGTCTATATGTAATGAGCTCAGACACTGTAGTTCCTCAAAAAAAATCTAGAAACTTAAAAACTTTCTTTAAAATAAAGAAAACAAATGAAAGATAGCAGAGCTAAGCAGAAAAGTATCTGAATGGCAAGGGAGCCATTGTGTGCAGATGTATGTAAACCTCTGGAAAAATTAAATGTTTTGTTCATTTTCTAAGAGAAAATATGCACACATACCCTACAGAAAGATGCTCATTTTAATGCAAAATTTGACATTTCTTTTGTGTAAAAATCATGGTACATTATACATGTCCATTTCAAATGTACTAAACTAAAATAAAATTGAAATTGTCACTTAAATGGCAAACAAGTTATGGCATCTCCCTTTTTTTCAGTCACAGATTGCATGGTGTTGACGGAGATGTTCTGCAAAGAGCCAAAGGAGACAGATTGGTCAGTGGAGACAGAAGACAGTAACATGGAGAACACTGCCTTAACGTTTGTCTTTCTCTTCCTCATCACCCTGATCTACTGCATTGGCGCCACTATTGTGAAAGTGAGTTCAAAATATGGTAACATGTTAATCTGCTATTTATAATAACACTGACATAATGATGCTATATACATATCATAGCAATCATATACAGATTTTGTTCAGTAATATAACAGTGTTCTTTTATTGTTATCTATAATAGCATGACAGATACTATTATGTTCTGTTTTATACTTTGATTATGCCATGTACTAATTTTTGGCAGCCGTATTCTACACTGTAAAAAAAAAAAAATCTGGCCAGACAAAACCAATTACTTAACAGTAAAACATGTTTTAAAATTAGCCTTCTAATAAATAGTTCTTAGAAATTACTTCTAAGTAATCCTTAGAAATACTGTCTAATTCCACAGTTTCATTAGTTCAACTACACTGTAAAAATGGTTTGTCATCTCAACATGAAGTAATTTGATAAACGAACAAATTATTTTTTTACAACACAGTTATTCTAACATACAGTATTGTTCAATAATAATGACACAACCATTAAAATAAATCTCTGTGAAATCATTTGGTTTTGTGAATTTACATTATATCTCTGTAAATTAACTGCGGTGTTCAAATACAGCATATCACTCTTGTCGGAAACAAAACCTCATATCTCTAAAATGGTAACTTTACAGGAGAAGGAAAAAACCTACTTTACTTTTAATGTAAGTCAATGGAACCAGACGTTTTTCCAAGAAATTTTAGGCCATTTCTTTTGGTCTGTTCATCATGAAATTTACAAACAATGTAAAGGCATTTTCAAATTATGTCAAAAACTGAAACACGACAAAAATGAAGATACAAGGTTTTCTTCCAACAGCAACAATATATATATGTATATTAATTTTAAAAAATGGTTTGACTATTCAATTTTACAGTACTTTGACCATGAAAAAACATGACACTGTTATATTACTAGACACGACAACTCATAACAGCATATGATAACTGCCGTAATATGTTCATAGTATGGCTATATCAATGTTATTTAGCAGAGTTCAACTAAAGTCTTAACACATTTTTGGGTGAATGTGATGTGATGGGATGCCATGAACTGGGCACCTTTACATTCAAAAATGACAGAATGTGAAGGAACAATGAGCTGCTTCCTTTATTTGACTTATTACATCAACAGACAGCTTTGTGCTGAACTTGTTGCATATATATATTGTGATCTAACTAGTGTACAATTGTGATTCCAGGTGAAATGAGTATCGGTCACAAGGATGGAAACATCTCCCTCATCATACTCCTCTAAAACTTACTGTCTGACGCTATGTCTTAAGCTTAAATTCTGCTTTTACAGTAATAACTCTGTTACAATAATATACAAATGAATGTTACATTTTTTGAGCAAAAAGTATTCTATAATCTGAAAATTGAATTAAAAAAAGCTTCAGTGAGAACAAAGCCTGAAACCTCTTTCTTTTTTAGTAATATGTATCAAAAGGCATCCAGGTTATGAACAAAAGCTGGACCATGAAAAACAACTGTTACATAACTAATTCCATACATGCATGCAAGTATAGCACTCCTTCCTGTGCAGGTGTGCGCCACTCTGTCTCTAGGACACAACTGACCTCTCACTTCTGCTTTTTGGGGGGCACCAGTGAAGCTACACGTTAAGTCAAGTCAAGTCAAAGTTCATATACATTGTGCTTTTTACAACAGGCACTGTCACAAAGCAGCTTTACAGAAAAAATCTGGGTCCAAGGCCCCATGAGCAGGCCAGTGGTAACAGCGACAAGAAAAACTCCCTAAGAGCAAGAGCACAGGTCTTCATATCCCTGTTGCTGGAAGAAAACCTTGTATCTTCATTTTTGTCGTATTTCAGTTTTTAGCATAATTTGAAAATGCCTTTTGCTCTTTACATTGTGTGTAAATTCCATGATGAATGGACTAAAAAAGGACCCTGGTTCCATTGACTTACATTAAAAGTAAAGCAGGTTTTTTCCTTCTCCTGTAAAGATGTCATTTTGGAGATACGATGTTTTCTTCCGACAACAGCGATATGGAATATGTATGATTTTGAATCTTAAATAACATGCTTTCTTTCACGATTGTTTTGTTGTATAGCCCTCTGCATGTATTTACAGTTTTTTATATTCGCTCAGAAGCACTTTTTAGTGTCAAGTTCACGTTGATGCTATAGAGCTACTAAAACACTGCAGTAACATCCCAAAATAAACTCATTACATCATCACTAGTGTTTTTACAACAGGAATACTTTGTCTATTACAGCACAATCACTTCAGAAACACCAACAACAGCTGGCAATCAGCTATTTTATGGATATCTATGAAGTAGTAAGGTTTTTTTGTAGTTTTGTTTTGTACTGTTATTGGTTTATTGGTTTATCATTCTGGCATTCTGTAAAAAGTGGAACAGGGCACAATGTCATTTGAGCTGTTTCTCAGGTTTGAATTGATGTCAAATACTTATTTTGTTCATCTAAACTAAAGTTTTGCTTTGCATTGTTTCATTAAAAGTACAAACCCAATTCCAAAAAGTAGGGACAGTATATAAAACACAAGTCAAAACAGAAAGCAGTGATTTGTAAACTGTCTTGCACAGGTATTTAATTTAAAACAGCAAAAAAGTTGGGACCAGACTGGGAACTTTGTGGAATGATCAAAAACACCTGTTCTGGAACTTTCCACAGGTAAACAGGTGAATAGGTAACAGGTGATGCTGTCATGATTGAGCTTAAAAGAATCATTCTTGAAAGGCTCAGTTTACAAGCAAATAATTCCATATGAGCAAATAGTCCAATAGTTTAAGGACAGTTGATTTGTTGATTCTGGCTCAGTCGGTTTGTTCATTACAAACACGTGTATTTTCCTCACCACCCTGATCTACTGCACTGGCACCACTATTGTGAAGGTGAGCTCAAAATATGGTAACACGTTAATCTGCTACATAACACTGACATAACAATGCCATAAATATATCATAGCAGATGTCATATGCTGTTATGACAGATTTTGCTTAGTAATATAACAATGTTGTGTTAGTGTTATCTAAAATGGCTATACCCCCTGTCTCCTTTGTTCTTTGGCCAGAATTGTTGATTCTGGCTCATTTGGTTTGTTCATTACAAACACATGTATTTTAGTATCTTGTATTTCTTGTTTAGTATTTAGTCCTGTGTATGGGTTCCCCTGCCCTTCATATTCCTTCATATTTTTTACTACCCTGACTTCAATAAAAGACACCCACACTTGTTTCCAGTCTCCTCGTCCGCCATACCAGCCCTGTTGTTACAATTCCCAGCTAATGGTTCTCTGCATGGCGAAATGGTTCTTCAGATTGATGGAGAATGTTGTATATGGTTCTATATAGCAACAAAAATGGTTCTTTTATTGTGACAAGCTTGACATCTTAACAGTAGCAGAGCCCTTTTTGGTACTATATAGAACCGTTGTCGAAAAGGTTCTGTATATAACCATATAACACATTCTCCAATCTGAAGAGCCATTTCACCATGCAAAGAACCTTTAAGCATGACATGATTCTATATAGAACTCATTGTTCTAAATAGAACCATTCAATTTACCAAAGAACCCTTGAAAAACCTTGTTTTTTAAGAATGTTAGTTATCTATCTATATATATATATATATATATATATATATATATATATATATATATATATATATATATATAGTTATATATAAAGTTTCTCGTAAGTTATCCAATAAACCGACTAATTCAATTCAGTTTTTTTTTCAAGCCAGCAATTCTTCCACAAACCTGCAGAGGTCACTAAAACCCTTCAGTGTGCACTTGTTCTAAGCATGAACAAAAAGAGTTATTATTATTATTATTATTACTATTATTAATGGTGCTTAATTGTTGTTGTTTACACATTTTAACATATATTTGTTTTGTTTTTTATTTTGTAGCCTATAATCCCTGGTATGTTATTCAAGTCACTCTTTCTTCAGGACAGACCTAAAAAAATGGCCCTATAATGATAGAAGATTATAAGATTAAAAATATTTGAAAGTTCTTCACAAAATCATAGTTGTGCATTTAAACCACACAATCAAGACAACACAGCAGAAACACAATTAAAAAAAATAAGATTAGTCCCTCTTGGGGAGCAATAGGGGTTAAAAAATTATTAAATCAATTTTTGTCTTAGTGGAGCTCATGGTTGACCTCATGGTGTTGATTCAAATATTACATGCAGACCTTAATGACTCATAGATCTGCAAGAAATGTTGGAGCACTGCCTAAATTCCTAAATATCATAAAGGCACATTAAAAACCAACTCAAATATAAAGCTGTAAATATGAAATATTACGCAATCCAACATATGAAGTATATATTCCAAAAAAAATATCAACATGATTATTTGTGTTGCATTTATTTCCGTGCACTTCAGTCATTCTGTAAAACGTTGAACTTAATTTTCAAGACTGAAATTACAAACTGATTGGGAATTTTTTTTTTAAATGAGTAACAAACCGTAATTTGCATGACTGCATGATTTATACTGAAGTTTTTGCTTTAATTTTTTCATTGAAATCCATGATGTGAGGCGACAGGCCCTAGTTGGTATGGAATGACCCTTACTTCATTCTTTTTTGCACAAAAGACTTCTCTAAAGTTCAGTCTTAGAAGTTGGTTAAATTTTCTGGTTTTGACATTCCAAATAATCTCGAACACATTCAATGATGTTGAGGTCTGGACTCTGGGGTGGGTAGTCCATTGTTCTGAGAACATCAGAAGCTTTTTTCCTTTACTCAGTGAGGCCCTCTTGAAAGCTACACATACATTATATTGCCAAAAGTATTCGCTCGTCTGCCCTCGCATGCATATGAACTTGAGTGACATCCCATTCTTAATGCATAGGGTTTAATATGATGCTGGCCCACCCTTTGCAGCTATAACAGCTTCAACTTTTCTGGGAAGGCTTGCCAGGTTTATGAGTGTGTTTATGGAAATTTTCAACCATTCTTCCAGAAGTGCATTTGTGAAGTCAGACACTGATGTTGGACGAGAAGGCCTGGCTCGCAGTCTCCACCCTAATTCATCCCTATCGGGTTGAGGTCAGGACTCTGTGCAGGCCAGTCAAGTTCTTCCACACCAAACTCGCTCATCCATGTCTTTATGGACCTTGCTTTGTGCACTGGTGCGCAAAGTTGGGAGCCTGAAATTGTCCAAAATCTCTTGGTCTCACTGGAACTAAGGGGCTGAGCTCAACTCCTCAAAAACAACCCCACACCATTATCCGCCCTCCACCAAACTTTGTACTTGGCACAATCCAGTCAGACAAGTACCGTTCTGGCAACCGCCAAACCCAGACTCGTCCATTGGATTGCCAGACGGAGAAGCGTAATTCGTCACTCCAGAGAACACTCTAGAGTCCAGTGGTGGCGCTTTACACCACTGCATTCCACGCTTTGCAGTGCGCTTGGTGATGTAAGGCTTGGATGCAGCTGCTCGGCCATGGAAACCCATTCCATGAAGCTTTCTACATGAAGTTTGGAGGTCTGTAGTGATTGACTCTGCAGAAAGTTGGCGACCTCTGCGCACTATGCGCCTCAGCATCCGCTGACCCCGCTCTGTCATTTTACGTGGCCGACCACTTCGTGGCTGAGTTGCTGTCGTTCCCAGTCGCTTCCACTTTGTTATAATACCACTGACAGTTGACTATGGAATATTTAGTAGTGAGGAAATTTCACGACCGGGCTTGTTGCACAAGTGGCATCCTATCATGGTACCACTCTGGAATTCACTGAGCTCCTGAGAGCGACCCATTCTTTCACTAATGTTTGTAGAAGCAGTCTGCATGACTAGGTGCTTGGTTTTATACACCTGTGATTGGAGCACCTGAATTCAATGATTTGGATGGGTGAGTGAATACTTTTGGCAATATAGTGTAATTTCAGACTTATAGCATTGTGTTATCATAGCGGAATGATAGACAGATCTGAAACAAGAGTGGAGCTTGATTTTCTCCTCTCTCTCTAAGACAAAAGCTTTAAGCAGTGTTTATCAGATGGGGACAGTTTTGGTGGTCTGGCAAGTGCTTCATGGAAACTCCAGTTTTGGAAACTCCAGTTTTTCCACTTATTTTCCTTGTCCTTTTGCAAGTGGATTATCTGATATCCAATCTCCTCAGAAATATCTGTTTGTGTGTTTGTACAAACAGATGCCAGACTTTTGCACAGTACTGCATGTATATAAAGAACATCACTGCAGGCACATCTACTCAGTATTGCTAGTTATTCCAAAGATAAAGCTCCTTTACATGTAGGGTTCACTCTGTCCACTC